GTACTATAAACCTTCAGTCCAGTTCTATACTGGGGGTTAGTACTGGATGTGGCAACTGACCAGCGGTAACTGACCAGCGGTTGCTGACCAAGGACGTTCTGTACAAGCCCGGTTATTTGATTAGCTAGAAATTTCGATCTTAGCGTGGCATTATTTGGGTTGCACAGAGTCAGATGAGGAAATGTAAAAATGGAAGCATGTTCAACTTTGAGTTTCAACTTCTCAAAGCTTCGAATCTACACTTTCTTATGTCAAATTAAGTTTTTAACCGCTAAATATATACCATGTCTTGTTTTGTTTACTTGTTGTTAAAACCACTATCACCCTCCGCCACTTTTGAGGAGTTGGTACGATCCATATTCTATGTGGGTAAAGGATCAAGACGGAGAAAGGGATACGACCGTCCACAAATGCATCTCAGTTTGGCACGAAAAAACCAGCGGTAAGTAAATAACTAATAACCGAAAAGTTTATGCTATTAAAGCTTCTTGTCAGTTGAACCGGAAAACATGCGCAATTCGCGACATTTGGCGAAGAGGTCAACTTGTGACGGTTGTTTCCGGATGCGAAGGTTCTGGCGATCGCATGGCCTTTTTATCGGAAGCGGCGATCGTCAGTTACACCGGCCTTCGAAACTTGACGAACGTGCAAAGCGGCACTCTTTCGTTCATTCAAGGGAAGGCAGTGGCGACGTTAAAGCTATCGAACTATGGAAATGCTGTTCTGCACTCATTTCATCACGATTTTTTATGTGGGTTCATGAAAATGAATTCCGAAGATGGGTTAGCAGTTTGAAAGATCCATCTTGATATTTTATGCTTTGTCATCAAAAGGCATTCCGAAGTCGGCCTAGCAGCTTAAAGGCCCAATGAAAAACATAGCTCGGTTCTTGTTATTGCAATAAAGGCTTTGTGATCTTATGTGTTTAGGGTGGCGACTGTGATGTAGCAGATCGTGATCTTATGTATTTTGGGTGGCGACTGTGATGCAGCAGATTGCACATTTTATTGTTTTTCTTTTGTTGATCACGTTTTAATGCTCCTATGCTTTTGAAAGTTTGAAAATACTAGGTACGCAATCCAACGATATTTTAATAAAGCGGATTTCTGTTAACAATCCCCATAACAGAGTGGCAGTATTGTTGTAACGGAGTTAAAAAAGAAAACAAGGAACCTATCTTAACAGATGCTACTTTAAACATTAAAACATTAGAAATAGCTCATTCAGAGGTCATACAGAGGCCAAAAGGTATTATTAATTTTCCTTTAAAAAAAACAAGCAATTACACTAATAATAACAAGTTATTCTGTCTCAAGGAAATTACAGCAAACTGGAATAATTATTTCAAACCATCCCAAAACCCCCGTTTCCGTATTCAACTGCGTAAGCGATGTCCGACATAAATAGACAGGTTAATTTTTTCTTTTGGCTGATCGCTGAACGCTGTTAAAATTACAGTTGCGCAAAATTAAAAGCAAATGCGATGGTAGTTAATTGTGCATTCGTCGCATCGCGCTTAGCGGATACAGAGCGCGTACGTACGTGCACCTCCACTCAACCCGGATATGCAGTGCTTTGCTAAGCGCGGAGGCTTTACGGTAACTTCGCAAGTTATCGTCGTGGCTGAAGCGGTCTTGCGCTAAACGTCACGAATTTGGGGAGGAGCCACAAATATCAGCAGTAAAACTTTAGAGCTACTGAAAAATTAACCTCTATAATGTCTCCACCTCGCACTCCTCGTAGCTCACACATAGGTCAATCTGTTTCGCGCAAGTATGGGCCCGCGGCGCACGCACAAATCTTGGATTTTGTCCGGAAACAACTTCTGCATTAGCAGACTCGAAAAACTCAACAGAGATCTTGAATTTCAACTGATCCGTACCAACGATGAACCGCATCAGCTTCCGCAACATGTCAGTATCAGAACTAAGAACGAACTGTTGGAATCGTTTGAAAGTATCAACAACTTGCTCCGGCACACTGTTAGAGGAAACACTGTTAGAGGCACACTGTTAGAGGAAACGGGTTTGAAGGCGGACAAAAATTCGTCTGCTGTAGACACGATCGTGAAAACCGAAGTCTCGCATTCTTCCCAACATCCAGCTTCTTTCATTCTCTAAAAAACAACAACGCCATATACTCAAAGCCTTAAGCTGAGGTTTTTACTTATATTTCGATGAAGTTCATTTGGTTAAAGCCACATCGAACTTGCGACAATGCCGGCTCGTATCTCCCAGTTAATTCGTCGTAGCAAATTTTTTCCGCAAGGTCTCTCCAAATCAGGCCTCTAGCAGGGTACTCCTTTATTCAAGAAAATTGCATTATATAGTACTAAAACAAGCCGACTTCAAGTGCAACGTTTACCTCAACTGCATTTGCTAATAGCCAAGTCCTCACGCCAGGAAATTTCAAATCGTCATTTTCCGGATCTTCAGAAGCTTTCATAAAGAGGTGGGCAGCCAGTTTTGCAATAAACGGACTTTTCTGTATAATTTGAGTGTTGTCGAGGAATATCCCATCCACAGACGAAAAAGTTGTACATCAAGCCAGGCCGGAAAGCCGCCGTCGTGAAGAACAAAGTGGAAAATTAGTTTACCGATCGCAACAAATATTTCATGATTTAATGGCGTTCCAGATGACGGCATTTTTGAATTCTCACCTTTAAAAAGGTAACCAACTCCCCGCAGGTGGTACTCAAGGAGGTTTTCCAAGAAATCAGCAGTGAAACCTCGAAACAGCCCTTTGACATCAACCGGGCGTTGAGCGCTTGGTATTCTGGAACATTTAAATTGTATTACTTGCAAATATCAAAAATATGTGTGATGATAATTACCCCTCGGTTTTTAATTCGATTTGCGGCTCGCTGAGTAGATCTTGCGGTCGCGCTGTCATATACCACGACAATAAGCTTCTTGTTGGGTCCGTTTCGCCCACAGGAATTGTGACAAAATCAGATGGCAGTAATCCGTAGAACGAGCGGGCGTCATTCAAAAACGATTTTTGGAAAGCGATAAATGTAGTCTTTGGTTCGGAAACAACAATTACGGGCTCTTTTATCCAATCTTCGCAGGATATCTCAGGCAAACCCAAATCTGGAATTGAGTATGGGAAGTAGTAACATTGACCGCTTGTGTTTGCACGATCAGCAAGATTTTTACCTTCGTTAGATTCTAACGAAAAATCAGTGTAAGCTCCATCCGAGGGCGCACTAAGAATCTGTAGAATTTTTTGCAGTATTATGTTTCAAACAGCTTCAAAAGCACCTTTTATTGTACTTTTAGCTTTTTGGTGTGAGGCTCGCTTTCCAACACGTTAATGGAATCGGTATCCTCGTCTAGTCCCGGCAGATTGTGCTCCGCCGGTGCAAGAAACAATCGTTACCGGCGGGCTCCACCTCCTTGCATAGGTTTGCAGCTGTACCTGCAATTGAAGGCTTTTGATGATTGCCGCTATTACCGCTTTAAAACAATGTCGTTACTACCGCTCACTCTAACAACACGTTGAGGTCGATTTCCGTCTTCGTGGCAAATACAACCACGCCGAGAGCCGAATTTCTACCATCAGCATTTCGTGAAAGCAGGTTCCATTGCTGCGTACCCAACATCGGAAACGCTTCCCAAACAGCAGCATCCACAGTTTTTGCGTCACACGGATGTATTAATTGTATTACTTTCATCAAATTGTTTTCTGCCATAAACAAGTAATCTGATCTAAATCGCAAAAACATTCATTTAATAAATTGTTTTTGCTACCCAATTTTAAGTATGCTCACTTGGATCGATCAGAACGGGGAACGTGGTTGCCCTGAATTCTTGGACACAAAAATACGTCCAGCTCGTAGGGCACCTGAACCACAGCCTTTGGCGAACTTTTTTCGTTGATTCGTGGGTTTCGGTTTGCTTTTCCGCTGTACTGAACCCGACCCCGCACTTCATAACGGTTGGCAACGGTTGGAACTGTTGGTAGCAAACCCATGGAACTCGGTTGCAACCGCTGCAACGACAACGGTGAAATTATCGGCCTCGGTGGTTCGTTCCAACGGGATAAACTTGTGTTAATGGGGGCATTTGGTGCTTCAATTTCCGCTGCCGATAACTGTGCACTTTCGTTGGCAACACTCAAGCTTCTCCCAGATTGCGTTTCCGCGTTTCGTTGGCAGCACTCAAGCTGCTCCCAGATTGCGTTTCCGCGTTCTGCAAAATCTCCTTTATATGCAAATGATTTGAAAAGTGCGAGAAATGCTTACTTGTTGAACTTGCACTCGCGTATGTCGCCCAAAGTAATGATCGCAGCAGCCACACTTGTAAATATTTCCAGTTTCATTGGATTCCCAAGCTGGACAAGCACATCCTGTAACGGAACAAACCACAAAAAAGGGCTTTACATTGCTCGTCCATGCCGAAGACCCTTAAAAATATATTTTTGAGAAACCATGTGGTTCTTTCATTGAATACTGCTCGATCTGATCTAACTGGGTCACTGAATAACATCCGTAATCCAACCGCGCTCTCACTTGTCTTTGTCCGCACAAATGGCTTCAGTTTCAGTTCATTTCTGTTCGCTTCTACATGAAAACGAATTTGCTTTGATTATTTCCCAATATTTGTTCGTTTTATGCAACGTTTTCCATGTCCCATCCTTTATAATAAAAGAATAAGAAGGTACACAAAATTCGTGTCTGTCTCCCTTTTCTGAACGACACAGAAAGCAAAACGTAGATGTCCGTATAGCATTCGATTGCGCAAAGTATGTAGATGAGCCCACAAAAGTCAAATTTGCGAAAACGAAAACAAATTTCGAGATAAAATCCAAAAACCTAACATGCAAAACCTACGGGAACGTCAAAAACCTGTTAACGCTCTAACTGTCGCCTCGCAGAGTTTGCGTATGGCTTTGCTAAGACTGGGTCTACAACGCTTCAAACAAGGTTTTATGCTCGAATGTCGCTCGATAGCCTTCACTCGAATTTATGGATAAGTTAAGTTTGGGAAAACGTTGGACGTAAAAAAATGAATAACCGTCAAATTTAGAAATGCTAAAATGAATCGGTCCTGCTTGAAGCCCGTAGCTGCCACATTCTGTATTTTCGAAGTGGTTGGCCACCCGCAGACGAATGTGTGAGTTAGAGTGTGCAGTAATGATTCCCAGCATTGTCTGGTGCATTATCTGACTTGGCGGACTAACATTTTGCAAGTTTAAATTTATAAGCGCTTCCATCTTCGAATGTGTAATGGAAATTAAATAAACGTTTTGATAATGCCACGACGTAGTACTTTAACTGGGCGTAAAGAGTCACGCAACAGAAAGCGCGCAACTGCTACGGAGACCTCTGCGCAGCGGATTCAGCGCCAGCAAGCTGACAGGCAGCGAAATGCCAGGTAGAATTACCATTATTTGATTTCAAGGTTTTCATGAAGTCATCATGATTTTATGGCAGACGCAGAGCTGTTGAGTGTGTACCAAACACTCCTCTCGGATCACTGGAGAGCGCTGCAGAAAACGCTGTCAGGTAAGTTATCCTTTTTGTTTGGCGTTGCAAGCGAGTCTCTGACCGATTGTGGCGTTGGAAAAATTGTAGTTTACCTTGCGTTGTTGCGGAGCCCATTGACGTTGTGCCCGCTAACGATGGTCTGCCGTTCCTTCATTCTGAAGGTGATGCTGATGTAGAACGCGAGGTTCGAGTTACTGTTCGCCGTCAATCTTCGTCAATAATGGCTGCTAGGAGTTTTACGGACGAGTCGGTCGTGCCAACACACTCCCTTGGTCCTATGGATAAGTTGTGTTCGTTTTGTGAAGCCTTGAACTTCCCTGCGGGAAAGAATTCCAAGTGCTGTCACAAAGGGAAAGTTTGTTTGCCTGGATTATCTATCCCCAACGAGATTATTCAGCTGTTAACGGGCACGAACGCAGAGTCGAAAAACTACCGAGACAATATCAGAAAATTCAATTGTGCAAATGCATTTCTTCCTTTGGAGCAAAGCTCCCCCCGCCGCCCGGGCACGGTCCTTATTCTTTTCGGATACACGGCCAGGTTCATCATTTTGTTGGCGCAGCACAGCTAACCGCAGGAGCCTCCACGAAGTACGCGAGCCTTTGTTTCATTGATTCTGAGGAGGCTCTTAATCAGCCTTTAAACCGCAGCGAAAACAAGAAGTGTAACCCTCTGATTATGGCTGAGATCCAAAGAATACTGGCTGTTAATAATCCATACGCGCATCTGTTTCGCCATATGAGCGATGTGTATAAGGATAGTGAAATGTTACCTGCCGAAATGCGTGATATTTCTCTGGTGTTTCTGAAAGCAAATGGTGCCGATCCCCGAAGATATAACGATCCACGGACTGGTGAAATTGCAGCGGTGTTTGTGTCTCCAGACGGCGAACCACCTGCTGAGCGGGATATTGTGGTATACGTCAAACAGGCACACCCCTCTCGGATTTCCCCCCTGAGCCCTCATTGTGACCCTTTGGTGTATCCCCTACTATTTCCTCGCGGAGAGTTTGGTTGGCATCCGGATTTGGTGCACGACCCGCTGCACAGGACAACGCAGCGGACGCGCGTAACGCAGTTGCAGTTTTATTCTTATCGCTTGGCTATACGTTCTGGATTCAGCGTATTGCACGCGTCTGGCAAGCTATTTCTGCAGTATATTGTTGATGTTTATGTCAGAGTGGAAGCAAACCGCTTGCAGTTCATACGTCAGAACCAGAAGCATCTGCGTGCCGAGTCGTATGCCGGTCTGTTGGATCATGTTAACAGCGTTGCCGCTGATAATGATGCTGCTGCTGGCAAAATTGTTATTTTACCATCATCGTTTATCGGTAGTCCACGAAATATGCAGCAAAATTACCAGGACGCTATGTCCATAGTTCGACGTTACGGAAAGCCTGACCTTTTCGTTACTTTTACGTGCAATCCCAGATGGCCGGAAATCACGGGTAACCTCCGCAACAACGAAAAAGCAGAATTCCGCCCGGACCTGATTGCGCGGTAAGAAGGGACGCTTTGTGAACGTTTACAGGCTAGGCGTCTATAGGTGTCGACCGTTGTATACAGGCAGTCTTTCCCAAGTCCTGCTTGACCTCAGACTGTCTGCACCGTTAGACAACCGCCCTGTAGTTATCTGCGTGAAGCTAGGTAGGCATGGTAGTGGACCCGACGTGCCGACAGTAAGCAACGGCTATCGATCACTTCGGCCGTTCTCATTTCGGTCGGAATACACGTCGAGCGCCATTAATTGGCGCCGCACTACATTTCGGTACGCTCACTTCAACATAAATGAGTATACAAATATTAAAAAACCTAACAATAGTTTAAAGAGCTGAAATTGCCGCGGTGAGCGTTAACCGAAGTAATTCTGTGCGGCCGAAATGTAACGCAGACGCGATCACTTACTACCGTGACACTAAATTAATGGCACTATAAGTATAAGTAATTAAAATGTACAGTATATGTTAACTTTGTTCCGTCATATATAGCAGCCAAGCACGCGTACAGTACACAACAGGCTTTTCGTTTGCAGGGTTTTCAAGTTGAAACTGGACGTGCTCATGAATGACATTTTCAAGAAATCCGTATTTGGAACTGTCACGGCTTACGTTTACGTAATTGAATTCCAAAAGCGAGGCCTACCACATGCGCACACCCTGTTAATTTTAGCGGCGGAATCTAAATTCGTGAATTGGACGACATTGACAGGATAGTATGCGCTGAAATTCCGGACTCTGAAGCATTCTCGCGTTTGTTTGCAGCGGTGAGTTCGACAATGGTGCATGGGCCATTTGGGACTATCAATCCCCAGTCACCTTGCATGCAGAATGGCAAATGCACTAAAGGATTCCCCAAAGATTTCTCTTCTGTTACGAAAGAAAACAAGAGCGGGTACCCTGTATACCAGCGAAGAGACGATGGCAGAAATATAGTCATTAACGGAATTCCAGTCAGTAACCAGTGGACTGTGCCATATAATAAGTGGTTGTCCAGCAAGTTTAACGCTCACATCAATGTTGAAGTATGCACTACGGTTAAATCGGTAAATTACTTATTCAAGTACGTGTATAAAGGGTACGATTGTGCCAACGTCCAAATCACCCAGCATTACCAGAGTGGCAACAACGATACGCTCAACTGGAACGAAATCGATACGTTTTTAAATGCCCGCTACGTTAGCGCTCCTGAAAGTATGTGGCGATTGAATGAAAATGAAATGCACCGGCAGTCTCATACGATTGAATCATTGAACGATTAGCAGTACATTTACCGGACATGCAGAATGTGATGTTTGCAGAAGGAAATGAGGTAACCGCAGCGGCAAGAGCGGCAATCTCCCACACGAAGCTCACAGCTTACTTCCAACTCAACAGTGATGAACCATCTGCAAGGAAGTTTTACTATACCGATATCCCGTTTACCGGGAGTTTTACTATACCGTTTGTTTGGCTCAAGAGCGCGAAGAAGTGGCAGAAACGCAAGCGAGGAGGAGAATCAGTAATCGGACGGATGTACGCCGTGTGGCCTTCGGATCGCGAGAGATTTTTTCTACGCTTGCTCCTACTTCATATAAAAGGTCACTAAAATGCCGCTGTTATTGATTTTACCCACATGTTTAGGTATTTCATTATGCACGGTACATATAATTTTCTGTACAGCTGTGAAAATTATGTGTGCACATTAATTAAACCATGATTTGCCTTTAGGAGCCACTTCTTTTGAATCCCTACGAACCGTTAACGGAATTCAGTGTGCCAGCTTTCACGAAGCTGCCAAAGCGCTGAAGTTGTTGGACGACGATTCAGAATGGAATGCAAGCTTAGCGGAAGCCAGTTTGTCTAGCATGCCGAAGGGACTTCGAGAGATGTTTGCATACATTTGCGCATTTTGTGTACCTGGTGATCCTGTCGCCCTGTTTGACTTGCACAAAGATAGTTTAACAGAAGACTATCGCCGTACATATCCGGAGCAAGAGAGTAGCAACAGGGCGCTGTGGGATATCGAGTGCGTTCTGACGCAGCACGGACTTAGCTGCAAACAGCTAGGATTTCCACAGCCCACGTGCCCGACAGATATTCCGACTGCCCAATATAACCTTGAAGAAGAAACAGCGGAAGCAATGCGATTGGAAACAACTTTAAATCCAGAACAGCGCGCATTTGTGTGTGAAGTGCTTTACGCTATAGATACGGGGGCGGGCGCAAGGCAATGGTTCCTGGATGGGCCTGGTGGTACAGGTAAAACTTATGTATACCGATACCTTTCGCACACGTTACGAGGGCGTGGGAAAGAAGTTATTGCGGTAGCCTGGACGGGAATAGCAGCAACTCTACTTAAAGGCGGACGTACCTGTCACTCGGCGTTTAAGTTTCCGCTGAATCTGGATGAGACTTCGGTTTCCAGCATCAAACCCGCCTCTCCGGAGGCCCGCCGACTGACCGATGCTGCTTTGATAATATGGGACGAAGCACCCATGGCACCCAAAATGCTCTTTCGACGCTTGATCGGCTTCTGCGCGACCTAACGAGAAACGATCAGCCATTTGGGGGTAAAACTATTGTTTTTGGAGGAGATTTTCGGCAAGTGCTCCCAGTGGTACGGCACGGATCGCGAACGAAAATAGTCGAAGAAAGTATCAAGAGAAGTTCTCTTTGGCCTTTCATCACTGTCAGACGATTGACAACTAATATGCGAACCGGGCCAGAACAGCAGGTTTTCAGCAAATGGCTCCTTGAGTTGGGTAAGTGGTAATGTACTATCAGCCATTTGTGCCTTATATTCAAAGCTGACAGGTGATCAACAAAATTACATTACCTTTGATTACTTTTCAGGAGATGGCAGACTTCAAACTGTCCCAGATTTAACGGGAGACCTAATTGAAGTTCCGACCGACTGTGTGTTTGAAGGTTCAGCTGTTGATTTAGTAAAGGAAGTTTACGGGCAGACCATTGACCCTTTGAATGTTATAGCCCTGGCTGACACCGCCATTTTGGCCCCAAAAAACGACCATTGCGCGGAGATTAATGACTACGTTGTAAAGCACTTACTGCCTGGAAACGGCCGATCGTATTTCAGTGTTGACTCAGTGGAAGCTGGAAATGACGACGATTTTGCAGATTATCCCATTTAGTACATTCACAGCTTGACGCCTGCTGGATTGCCACCTCATGGGCTTTTTCTTAAGCCGGGCACGGTAGTTTTGTTAATGCGGAACTTCAATGGGAAATCGGAATTGGTTAACGGAACCAGAATGGTTGTTCGGTTTGTACATGACAATCACCTGGATGTGGAAGTATTGACAGGAGAATGCTTAGGACAGCGCGTCCTTTTACCTCGCATTGTCATAACAACGTCCGATCCTACAATGCCGTTCAGTATTAAGCGGAAACAATTTCCTATTCGCGTTGCATTTGCCATGACGATTAACAAATCGCAGGGACAGACACTGAAACGCCTAGGGCTGTATTTACCAGAACCGGTATTTTCTCACGGACAACTTTACGTGGCATTTTCCAGGGTTTCTTGCTTTTCTGCTATTAGAGTTAAAGTTGTTCCAGGACGAATTCCCGGCAGATCTGGAACCTATACGCGCAATATAGTGTTTTCTGAAGTTTTGTAAGCGAAAACTATGAATCTGCTGTTAATAGTTCGTACTGCGGTAACTGTTAGTAGGCAGTAGTCGGTGGTTTGATAGCTGTTTCAATACGATGATACTGTAACAATAAATTCCGTTACATTAGCGCAGTTTGCGCGGGGTCAGCTAGTATTCTAAATAAAACTCTCCACGTTATATACGCGTTGTTTTTTTCGAGTTTACTATAACGGAGTCGGCTTCTCTGAACGGATTCATGGAATATGCGGTTGCTTCTTTGCAGAGCGCCGTTAACATAATCTATAGTAATCAGCCAGACGAAGATAGGCTTGAAGATCCACTTTTCCAGATTGATGGTTTACAAAGGTACCTTTTGTCGAAATCCCAAAGTAAAGAATCGCGAATTTGTATCCAGGTGTTAAGAACAACTACAGTTGCAGGCTAACGGATGCAGTCTTTGTTAACGTCAGCACCACAGATGTATCGCAGATTGATATCATTCAGAGCGAAATTGCCATTCAGCGAGGAAACGTCCTATTACTATTAGCAGATTTGCCTTAAATCTCCGGTTTTGCCAGTAAGATTACAAAAAACTAACACCGGCGGAAGACCTAAATATGACATTCCTGAAGATGATCTGAAGCGTCTACGTGGAGAAGGATTCAGTCATAGAATTTTTTTTTTACGACATTTTCACTTGCAAGGTGCTTTTTCTTAAAGGTAGAGAATTGCTGCAAATCTAACTTTACTACTTTCCAGAATGAAATGTAACGGTTGTTAAATTTTATATGCACATAAATAAAGTGGCAAAATTCGACTCTTCGGCATTTTATTCACGTGAATCCATTAGTGGAGGGCACACTGCATATTGTTGTAAACTAGTAATACATGTTCTGAAAGCAATACCAACTTGGTCCGCCGCAACAACAGCCCAAAAAAGCGAGCGCTAAATTTTAGCGCTGGCGTCTTTGACTGCAGAAACCCCTGGTATCGTTATCAGCATTGGGCATCTAGTACACGCCAGACCGTATAGTGAATTAGACCGCCAATTTCTTGGGCCACCCGGCAGTACAGCAGCCGCATCGCGTATAGCTTTACTTTTGGGGAAAATAGTACGTATGCGCAACAGCAACATTCATAACAAACGCAACATAAGTAAGATAACATACATAACAAGCGTAACACAAGTAACATGACCATCATAACAAGCATAACATAACTTACACAAGTAACATAACATACATAACACCTTTTTGCACGAACGGCTCGTCATACACGAACTGTTGCAGCCTACGTTAAATTCCATAGAATGATGCACACTTGCACAGCATGTTCGAGATGGGCAACACGAAAACCCACAAACGGGGTTTTATCAAGTTTAAGCTACAAGGACCTAGGTACATTCGTTTTGTAGAGAAAAGAATGTGGATTATTCTAGAATCATTTCAACAACACAGAAAACAACGGCAACTTTAGAATCAAGTCAAAGTTCTATGTTACTGTCCTGTTATATCACTGTCCTGTTCTTTCACGCAACTAGAAGAATAGTGTTCTGGCAGTAATTCCAGGACCTCCGCGCCTGGGTAGGGACTGAATTGCAATACAGATTGTATTTTTTTAAAGCACAGGACTCAGCGTAGTGAACGGCTTACAGTACACCTCACGCTGTCATGCTGTAACGTCGTACCAAAGTCTACCACTGTAGTCAGTCTTCTTCTGTCTGCCGCTCTATCTGCAACTTGTCGATGTTAAAGGACAAAAATATAATTAGCGTTGCCTGTAACTAAATGGAGTTGAGGAGATGGTGTAATAGAGTAGCTTCAAAAATTCAGTTGACCGTTTCTCCTGCCCATTATGATAGGCAGGCACCATTCAATAATCCCAGACAGCGCATTATATAAGTGCATTGTCTTATCAGACTGCTTGCAATACTGGAATCTCTGCAAGCGGGCAAACTTTTTCTACGATGGCATTATGTTGTTACTTGCTAGTTTCTTATGCAACATGTCAAACCTTTTATTCGATGGCATTACACTGTACATGGCAACACAGTATACATGATACTAAATTTTGCTGGTACTGATAGGTTCAGTTTGCAGCACCATCACATCTTGCAGAAGAAAACTTGTTTATTTTTGATAAATTTTGATTGAAATGGTTATGCTGGGCGATTTGATACTGCATTAAATAGTGCAGCGTGATTCTGAATTGGAAATTTTTATTCTTGTTTGTGTTTCGTTTAAATGTTAATTGTAAACAAATGAAGTTGTTGATGCAGGCCGAATAATAGAACAATGTGTAGTTTTGAACCAGTAACTATGCAAGTACTTGTATTATCTGTATGTGCTTACAGAATAGAGAGCCATGGCACACCGTTGCTCTCATTGTCAGGAGAGAAAGCCATTTACGTGATGTCTCTATTACACCATCCCATCTCTGCGTAATGGAGTTTTGTTAACATACGGTTTCAAGTTAATCCGCCACGCTTGAGAGAAATCTCACTGTCTGCTATTATTATTATTATTATTATTATTATAAAGACAATTCCTACACCGCCGTTTTTTTCGCCTTTTTTGCCCGACATCTCCTCCCAAACCATTCGACCTTTCGGACTGCACGATACCTTAAAAAGCGTGTAAATTCGCATAGGGTGCACTTAAGGTTTTCGTTTTCCGTACTTTTCACTCCCAAAATTACGAAACTTTTTCGAATCGAATTTCGCCTATTGGCTGTATTAGAAAGTACTTACGGCGAATAGGCGGAATCAGTTATTATTGCGGAAAGAATCACTATGGCAACACGCAATACGTAATACATATTACCACATTTTTGCAAAGTGCTGTTACAGAAAAAAATATGGGTGGAAACAATCTTGCGAATCCGGCATGTTCACATTAGAATCTTTGCATTAGCCTTCGCAGCGAACAGCATTTACAAAAAGACAGCATCAGAAGATCAGTTTTTAAAAAAACGAAGTACAGTAAACTCTGTGAGATTGAGCAACTGCAGAAACTGAACAACTGCGATTATTGAACGCCCGTGTAGGAACCGGCGCCTCCCGTATACAGAAAAAGCTACTGCGAATATTGACAGTTGGTTACATTAAACACTTTTGAAGGAACCGGAGATGTTCAGATTACACAGGTTACTGTACGACAATTTAGAAATACGAAAAAATGTTTTTCCGGAATTTCCGCCTAGAAACATCAATTGATTTAAATTATAGAATAAAACTAAAAACTAAAAAATAGATTAAAACTAGCGGTCGTTGCGAACCACATCATCGCAACTAGCGGTCGTTGCGAACCGAGCGCGAGCGCCAGTACCACTGGAAATGATATTGGGATCGTGGAACTGGAATAGTGTGACGTACACTCTTCAAGGCTTCAGACAAATTTTATGCTCTTGACGAAGGCTTATTTCCAGCACCATTGACCATTGCGGAAATACTGGAAATACACAAATAGGGAAATGCGAAATAGTGGAAATACAAAAATACGGAAAGGCGTGACGTAGTACAGACTGATTAATAACAGCACATTATTATTATTATTATTATTATTATTATTGCTGGCTTAATATTTAATTTTCGGAAACCTTTCCAAAAGCACCATCAACGTTGCCTAAGTATTAGCAGGACTTTTGCCGGTCAGAAATGGAATTTTCAGTAAGGAATTTTTGCCGGCCAGAGAAAGCTGCAGAAATCTTCGCCGGTCATACAAAAGTGAAGTGATTTTCGCCAGTCAAACAGTGGAAAAGGGGAATTTCGCCAGTTAGACAGAGGGTGAGGGATTTCCGCCCGTGAGACAAAAATCAGAAATTTTTGCCGCTCAGAAAAAGGGAATTTCGCCGGTTAAACAGAGGGATAAGAAATTTCGCCGGTCAGAAAGAGTATTAGAGAATTTCGCCGGTTAGTCAGAGGGGAAGTAATTTCCGCCGGCCAGAAAAAACGGAAATCTACTTTCGTCAGTCAAACAAAGGTCATGGCTCAATGGTCACCACGACGGCCTAATTGCTTATATGCAACACCTTTTTCTTTTTAATTCTACCTTTTTATTTTTGTTTTCAATTTTTTATTTTATTTTTTATTGAAACAAATTTAACAAAAAAATTACAGAAACAGAATTAAAAATATTAATATTAGCATTCATAAGAATTTTAATGTTTCTCTTAGTATCTAATTTCTGAAAAACGATGTAGGGCAATTCGTTGATGCGGGAAACTGTCTTAACGGAATTTCCGCTAATTTTCGCAAATGCTGTTTTGTGGCCAACATGCGATAGCGCCTAGCCAAAAACGAAAATAAAGAAACATGTCTGGAAAATCAGATGTAGTTATGTTTTCGCGTTCCTTATCATACGATTATTTTACAAGTTTTAAATTATGTAGAAAACACGGTAGGAAACAGGTTTTTAATCCTCTCTCTGCAAACTTCAAAAGTGTTTCATTAGCATATTTTTGCACCGATGTACTGTGCTAGTTTTTTTGAATGTATTTCGGTGATAGCAAAAATAAAACCTAATCAAAGAAAAAATCGTTCTAGGCAAACCAAATAACGGTTGCTGTTTAAATCAAATGAATTAACGGCAGTTGCGGTAAACATAGTTTATCAAATTAAAATGTTTTAAAGACTGATCCCTTACTAAATATATTTAATATTTCTGCGCTAGGAGACGTTTTCCTTTCACTTTTCTACACGTCCTACAGGTTCTCCGTTTTGCAAGCCGAGGCCGGAGGCTGAGGATTGCCTTGTAATTACAATCCTCACTCCGCCGTTTTTTCGCCTTTTTTGCCCGACATCTCCTCCTACACCCTTCGACGTTTCTGCCTCCACGATAGCTTAAAAAACGCGTAAATTCTCAAAGGGTGCCATTAAGGTTTTTATTTTTCGAACTTCTCACTCCCGAAATTACAGAACTATTTCGAATTGAATTTCGCCAATTGGCTGTCTCAAAAAGTATTGACGACGAATAGGCGGAAGCAGTTATTGTCACGGAAAGAATAACTATGGCAACACACTGTACGCTACATCAAGACGTTATTACATTGTGCTGTTATTACGGTAATAATAACGATGGGCGGAAGCAGTAAATTCGTTTCAGATCCGACAGGTTCCCATTGAAATCTTAGGATAAGCGAGTTCGCAGCAAGCAGCATGTAGAATGTAACATTAGCAAAAAATTAACTAAAATGATTAAATACAATTCCGAAAAATACGTACGCAAAAAGTCTTGCAGAATTTCCGCCCAGACCCGTGAAACAGTTCAGAATTCAGATTATAGCCACGTGTGACAAAAAAAAGAAATACGGAAATACTTCCTTGTTGAAAATACGGAAATACTTCCTCACTCCGCCGTTTACTTCAAAGTGTTCGAAGCTTTTCGTTTTTCGTATTTTTCACTCCCAAAATTACAAAACTTTTTCGAACTGAATTCCGCCTATTGGCGGTGTCAGAATGTATGAACGCCGAATAGGCATCAATTATTACTGCGGAAAGCAACAGTAA